GTCTCAGGGGTAATTTTTCCACGAGTAGTTGTAAATTGGCTGTGTCCACGGGAGGAGGTGAGTTCAGAGTCTGCCTACGCCGCCATCTTGACTCCCTCGCTTCTTCTTTTCTGATCTTATACAGTTTAACAATTGTGAGAACAGAAATCTTTATTAGTTAATTGAATATTGTAGTTTATATAGATTTACCATGTATCGTATTTGAGTATAAGATTCAAAATAATTCAGTTTTTCTTTATTGATACAAGTCACTTTAGTACCCTGGTAGGCCTTAGTGTTATCAGTTGAGAATTAACTATCATTGTACCTTAAGTACAGAAGTGCTTTTTAAATCAGCAAGGATTTCTGGTTGATAGAATGCTGTACTCACAGAGTAGTTTTTATTTTGTCTCCTCTGGTGAATTTACTTATTTGTTATTTTCTGGGTGATTGGGATTCTGGCATTGGAAATTGAACATAAGCTTACTGTATTATATTAATATCTGTGTTCTTAATAATTGTGAGGGCATTTTTAATTTTATGAAAAATGCAAGTTAGAAGAAATTCTCTTTTTATCTTCTGTGCATAAAGACCCTAAGTCCTTTTAAGATACCATTCTTCAAAGTATAGAAGCAATCCATGGAATATTTACAGTGGCACATGGAATTTTGTTGTTTAGCAAATATAGTCAGGTTATAGGAATTTTTATTTATTCTAAATTTAGTTTTTAATATGAATTTCATAATTAAAACATTTAATAGCAACAAAGAAGATTGTCTTTGAGGGGACATAAATTTAATTTGTATGTATTAGAATTTTTAAATTACAATATAGTGATGTAAGGATTTGGCATAGAAAGAAGTTTTAGTGAAGGAATTTTCAGATAGGTAGTAATCAAACCAGGAGAATATGGTTTATAAGCCAAGAGAGAAGAGAGATTTAGGAGGGAGAGATGATCAACAGTGTGAAATTAAAGGAAAAATAACAAACAAGTTTAAGTAAGATAAGGATAAAACGGGATAAATTTGTTTAAATAATTATAAAACCAGTTTCAACAGAGCAGTTGGAGCAGGAGCCAAATTCCAATAAACTTCATCTGTCTTATTTTCTCTCTTCAACACCAGAGGACTGGGCAGATAAATGCCATTATTATCAATTGCAGCTGGCATTACTGTTAGTGAATGAAACATATGTTGAAGGGCAGTCCTGTAACATGACAATGTGAGATGAGTGGTGATGTTTTTATCTTAATAGGTGACTTTCCCAGCTTGCCTTGAACATCAAATATATAAAACTGAAATTAATGTGAATTGCTTCTTAATAAAGGGACTCTTTTTCACTTAAATTTTCTACTTTTTTTCATTTCACATTGATTTTAAGGACTTTGTCAAACTGACCTCTTAACTTGGCTATTACAATGTTTAGACTCTATAGTAAGCTTTCAAAAAATATTTCATGTGTTTGGACTCTATTTTTAAAATAATATTGTTGACTCTGTTTTATCTCCTCAATTCTGGATGGGGAGAACCCTTAGAGAATAATAAAGGTAGGAACAGCAAACTAAGCCCTAGACAGCCTAGACTGCTTTGCAGTCTAACGGGACACTAGCAAAGTGACCCTTCTTTTCCCAGTCATGCTTGATTGCCGGGACCTCCTTATAAGATGGAACAGACAAGGCAAGAAAATATGAATATGTAAACTATATGTATTGATTTCAGTCAAAGTCAAAGGAGAAGCAATAGATTGACTCTGTGTAGAAGCTTTCTTTAGCATACAGGCTCAATTCTTTCATTTGTGTTGTGTTCTTCTTTGGACAGTAAGTTCCCCCCATATTTTTCCTCAGATCATCCTCAAGGGTGAATCTTAACTAGATTACATGTGACTCTGCTCTCACTATATAATGCATTGTGCGTTTGTATGTCTATGTATGTATGTATGTGTGTATGTGTTTATCATTATAATGCCATTACTATAAGGTAGAATTCCTTTTCCTACAGCATCTGGGAATGAATATGAACTAGAAAACTTAACACAGACCTTTAACTCTGTCTGGTCAGATTCCTTTCCATTTTTTGCAGCTCTCATTTTTGTGGGTAAAAGAATGAATGCAAAGTATTCCCTAGTTTTAATTCCTTGTTTTGTCTTTCTCTCTCTGGGGTCTAGCTGACCTGCATGACTTCCTCTGAGATTACTAACTTAAGTGCTTCTGTTTACACTACATAACCTGACGCTTTTCCCAACTCATTTACCATAGATTCCCTCTGGTTTATATTTCCCACTTAACAAATGAATTTTTGTCCTCTGTAATGATGAGGAAAATCATTAATAAAAAGATATTATGTGATAATTACAGCATATGGAGTACGGTATTGAAAAGAAAAGTGAACAGCTAGATTAGCAGCATTTAAAAAGTTCATGTTGCAAGGGTTGAGGGAGAGGGAGGAATGAACAGGTGGAGCACAGACACCTGTTTTTAGGGCAGTGAAACTACTCTGTATGATATTATAATGGTGGACACATGTCATCATACATTTGTCAAAACCCAAAGATGTCCAGCACCAAGAATGAACCCTAATGCAAACTAAGAACTTTGGGTGATAATGTTGTGTCAACGTAGGTTCGTTGATTGTAACAAATGTACCACTGTAGTGCACAATGTTGATATTGGAGGGGGATTGTGTGTGTGTAGGGATGGGAGGTATATGGAAAATATCGTTACTTCTGCTCAGTTTTTTGCTGTGAATCTAAAACTGCTCTAAAAAATAGTCTAACACCAAACCAACAAACAAAAAGTTTACGCTCATTAACATCTTAGAAGCATCCAGAGATGAACTGAAATTTATTTTCTCTGATTCAAAATGAGTGAATTAACCTATATGGGAAATTTGTGGACCCAAGAGAAATACCTCTCTTGCTTCACTCACTAGCTATCTCCTTTGATAAGCATTAAAAAAGCTATACATTCAATTATTTATATTATGCTTCACTAATATTTGCTTCCCATTTACCTCTAGGTTTGAAGTTTGAGGAAATTCAAGAAAGATTTGGTGAGGAGTTCTTTAATATATGCTTTCATGAGAATGAGAGAGTCCTTCGAGCTGTAGGTGGCACGTTGCAGGACTTTTTTAATGGCTTTGATGCTTTGTTGGAACACATTAGAACTTCTTTTGGAAAACAGGCCACTCTGGAGTCACCATCGTTCCTGTGCAAAGAGCTTCCTGAAGGTACTCTTATGCTCCACTACTTCCACCCTCATCATATTGTGGGGTTTGCAATGCTGGGCATGATTAAGGCTGCAGGAAAGAAGATCTATCGGCTAGATGTGGAAGTGGAACAGATTGCAAATGAGAAACTGTGCTCTGATGGTTCAAACCCAGGCAATTGTAGCTGTCTTACTTTCCTTATCAAAGAATGTGAAAATACTAATATCACGAAGAACCTTCCACAGGGAACCTCCCAAGTTCCTGCGGACCTCAGAATTAGCATCAACACCTTCTGCAGAGCCTTCCCTTTCCACTTGATGTTTGACCCCTACATGTCAGTCCTACAGCTGGGGGAAGGCCTAAGGAAGCAGCTCCGATGCGACACTCACAAAGTGCTCAAGTTTGGCGACTGCTTCGAGATTGTTTCTCCAAAAGTTAATGCCACCTTCGAAAGGGTCCTGCTGCGACTGTCCACCCCGTTTGTGATTAGGACCAAGCCTGAGGCTTCTAGCACTGAAAATAAAGACAAGGTAAGTGGCCATGGACTTGAGGTGGGTGATGGGAACTAGAAGAGTACATAATTATTTCAGTAAATTACATGCTGGCTGTACTTGTAATTATTTAGGCAAGAGAGCTTAAAGTGCCATTTAGAAAATTACTGGTCCCTGGATCCATATAAAAAGATTTGGCCCTAGTCCCAGCCATTTTGCATAGTGTCTGCCTCTTCCATTAATTTATTTGAGCACATAAAAGAGAAGATTTATTAATACCAGCCATAGTAATTACAAAAATGATAGGACTAACTAAAAACCTGATACTGTAAAACCACGAATCTTTCCACTGACTGAAGTCAAACTATGAGAGAAATGGTAAGGCTGATTTCAACATTGTGGGATTTGCTTGTCTTATCCTTAAATGAATACAGGTAAAAAGCTAGCTATATTTTGAATATGTTCTTTTCTAAATTTCATAATCTAGGAACATGTGGTTTACATTCTATTTTTATTTTTATATGCAGAATAATGTATTTTTTAAAAGTTGGAAATTAAGTGACTATCTCAAGACTTCTCTTCTAATTAAATTTTAGTATTGAAATAGAGACTTATTCCTTTAGAAAATGTTCACTCCTTGGGAAATACAATGAACACTCGGAATCTTTATTGTGAATTTCTTTGAATCGCTTTGGAGAAAATCTGGGTTATAAATTGTAAATAAATGATGAAAAGATAGCAGAAATAAATCTTAAAATAGTTGAGTTTAAACAAACATATTCCCTTAGGTAAAATATTTTATAGGAAAAAAATCAACATTAAAATAAATAATAAAATGTAAAGAAAAATCAGCCATGACTATTTTAAATTTGGTAATATACTTTCAGTGATTAAGGGAAAAATAATGTTAATTTCCAGAGTAGACATTTGAATGTACCTTCAGTTTCCAGTAGAGCTTCTTTTCAATATTTTGTATCAGGATAAATAAAGTTCTTTTAGGCTATTCAGCTTGTTCCCAAGCATGGTGGGAAAGATGTTGGCTTTTGGAAACCAACAGGTTGCTCTGGGCTAAAGGAAGGAAGAGTTGCAGAAACAATTAAAAACTCAGTGAATGAATAATCTATACATATTCTGGAGTGCCTGCAATGATCAATTACATACATGAGGAAAGAGCCTCCTGGAAGCAGAGCCATAGACTTCTTTGAGAATTTTATACAACATTAGTTTCATAATTGATTAATTTTTATAATTTTGAAATTCAATGGAAAAACTTTAAACAAAATATTTGAGAAAGATGGAATGATGCAAATTTTATTCAGTATGATTAAATCAGATGATTTAGGAAAATCATTCAGTAATGTTTTCATCATATAAGTTCAGTGATTTGAAAACATTTAAGGATAAACCTGAAGATTCCAATTTGGCACATTTGGATATTTTAGTCTGAATGAATTATTATCTCTATGTGATTACACATCATGTTTTAAATAACGTTTTTCACATGTGCATATTTTATTTATATATGTATATATGTGCATATATACACACACACACTTTCAATAATTGCTACCCATTTTGAAGCTCTTTAGAATGGAAGAAAGTTGTTAAATGTGTATTTTTGTCCATATCTGTAGTTGCTTTAAAACTGGAATTATTCTTTTTAATTTAGAGAGTATTAAAGCTGTCAGTTCTGTTTTACAGAAGTACAATATTTGGCTAAGAGGGTTTGAAGCATTTTTGGCCTTTAGAATTGAAGTTAATATTTTTGAAAATGTGCCTGAAGTAGAATATATTATTACCAATGTTAATTACTTTTTATATCTTGTAGATTTGAGAAAAATTAATTTAATTTAAAGTTACTGCTTCAGATTTTTTCCCCTGTATTTCATCTGGCTTGTATTTCTATTTAACTTGTATACCAGGGTAAGAAATACACATAATGAAATGATGACTCAAATGTCAAGGCCCCCTGCCAATTCCAATAATAAGGAACTGTGCTCATTGAGAAGATGCAATTATAATTTAAACATGTTAGTGGCAGTTTAAAAATAAAGCAATAGGCAGGATTTTTAGTTAGAATAAGAATAGCAATCATCTCATCCTTATGTTTACATTTCTTCTTTTTCACTGGGGTTTGCCAGAACGGGACATCTGGGAGGCTATGGTCAGCCCAAATTGAAACTAAAGTCAATAAAGTTGTGGCATGGAGTGTTAACAAGATGGATAACATTTTTGAATTATTCTTTTGCCAAATTCCAACTTTGTAGTTTCTTTAAACATGTAAAGAAGAAAGAAAATCAAGATTGAAAATTATGATTCTATTGATAAATTTGACCTTGATATTCATTATTTTCCCCATAATAGCTATTCTTGTTAATAAATAACTCCATGTTGTCTGAAGTTTCTAATTTTTTAGTGGGTTTTGACAAGAAACTGCTATTTTTAAATAATTTAGCATATTTATTCCTTAGTCTAACAATGAAGGCTTTCATGATAATTTATTTTGGCTGTGTACTTAATGCTAATGAACCACCACCCCCGTGGTCAAAAAAGAAAAAAAAAACAATAACAACAAAAGACAAGAGCTAATCATGCAGCTGAATGACAGCAAATCATTTGCAGAATGAACTGTGATGCTTTTGCTAAACCATAATCTTTGTCATTTTGTGTTGTCAGTCAATAGTTAACTATATGACTAGAGGTAGAACATGCTTGTGAGCAATTTGGTGCGACACTAATGAAACAGAAAGCCATCATCCTAGTTTCAGAGAATTAATATCTTGATTTGCAGTAATGAGTTATAAAGACATGGAGGTTGGTTACCAGAAACAAGAATGTCACTGAGAGGCATCTGAGGGAGTAATTGGTGGCAGGCTTCAATTCAACGGAGTTTTGAGGGCAGAAGGAACTCTTACAGATGGCTTGACCAAGTTTTGATTCCCATTATTTGGCCCCTTCTACGTCTTCTCTAAGTGATCATTCACGCCTCACATATTCTTCTCTATTTTCTTTTCTCCCCATATGAAATTCCTATATTTTCATCTTTCCTTAAGCTCAACTTCCTTTCCATCACCTTCTTTCCTTATCAGATATCAAGCATTAAATATGAATGAATGATTTCATTATTTATTTATTTATTATTTTTTTTTTTTGTGAGGAAGATCAGCCCTGAGCTAACATCCATGCTAATCCTCCTCTTTTTGCTGAGGAAGACTGGCTCTGAGCTAATATCTATTGCCAATCCTCCTCCTTTTTATTCGCCAAAGCCCCAGTAGATAGTTGTATGTCATAGTTGCGCATCCTTCTAGTTGCTGTATGTGGGACATGGCCTCAGCATGGCTCGAGAAGCGGTGCGTCGGTGCGCGCCTGGGATCCGAACCCGGGCCGCCAGTAGTGGAGTGCGTGCACTTAACCGCTAAGCCATGGGGCTGGCCCCTGATTTCATTATTTAAAAAAAAATAATGAATTCAGCATCAGGAATTAAGAATTGGGAATCCGTATTGATTTGTGTTGTGTATCTTTCAAGTCATTCAAATCTAACATTGTTCTGAGAATTTGGAATTTTATCACATAGATCTTTTGAGACATTTTGGTGCATTCAAGAAGAAATTTATTACAGTCCAATATGCAGTTTAGGAGTTGACACTTAGTCATATAAACCTAACTCATTGACATAGACTCCAAAGCTTCTTTGTATGGAGGGGATGATGTTTGTAGATAGGGCTGTTAGAAATTAGAGTAATGGCACATAGCTTCCTTCTCTGCATTGTAAGGTCATGATGTGGGGGGAAGTGGCAACCGACTGGGAGAGAGGTGTCTGCGGCAATCACAATTTTAGTGGGTCTCTGTAATTTCTGAGCCTCAGATTGATTCCTTTGGAAATTAAGAAATCTACACTAATATTAGTGTTTTTACTTCTTTACAAGTCATCCTTAACATACATAAATTTATATGAGGTCAGCTGATCATGAAGCTATCTATCATCCCTTTGTTCAATGAATTTAGATGCATTTTTGAAAAGAGGCAGAGGGGAATCTGACTTTTCAACCATAAAGAGCTCATACTATTATCAAGACTAAGTTAAAATAATTCTCTGACAGCTTAGGCCGCCTACCTCAGAAAGTTATTTGTGAAGATTAAATGACATAATCCACGTAAAATTCTTATTATATCTTCGACCCCAGGGTTAAGTGTTGAATAAATGTTCATTATTATTACTTCTACCACTAGTATTAGTGGTGTTCTTTTCCACTTTAACATTCTTCTTATCCATTCTCCCCCTCACTTCTTGCCTTATAGAAGAAAGTGCTGGAGTTCAGTAGGCTTAATAATTTTAGAGAAATATCAAGCCCACTTTACGTCATCACAAAATATTACTTGGGCCCTACTTCTTGTCACCTTAATAAAGACTAGAAGACCACTTGCCACAAATTCTAGAGGAGCTCTGTTTGGATCTGCTTTTTATTTATAGACTATCATTGTTTTAAAACCACTAGTCTGCTTTTCAGAATCACTAAGGTTTGGAACCAAGTTTTTATTACCTGTGTCTACTAATATCTTTTATGTTCACTTGTTACTGTGCTTCCCTGTGCCAGTGGCTTCCAAAATAAAGTGGACTGGTTAGCTTAGGCACAGTCTGAAACAGCAGTGGATTATGAGAAACAATAAATGAGTTCTTTTGACATTTTTTTCTTAGTAGCAATGCTTCAAAGAACTTTAATAACATTGTGGAAGGAGTCCAGCATTTGAAATACATCATCCCTACGACAGAGCAATAGCATTATTATTCATCTTCACTTTTGTTCTCAGGGTTGAAACTGAGGAAAAGCATAACAACAACACATTTCTTTTTCAATCTCCAGAAATATCCTCACATTTGTCTTATTAATTAGAAGCTGCAAAACAAATTCTGGGAAACAATTTTCAAAGAATAAAAGAAGGATGAACCTCTGGTTTTCTGTGGTCAAATCAGTGTCCAAAATGTTCCTTTATCTTTTTAGACACATGCCCATTTTTTTCTGACATCATGATTGAAAAGT